GTGTTGTAAATAGTTTGGTGTTTTGTTGTAAATAAATAGTTTGTTGTAAATAGCCGTAAATGGGTTTTGTCACTACTTTCGTTTTGGGATTTTGGTGGAGAGCCTTAGTGTTTTTCTTTGTGGTTTTATTTTCCTTATCTTTGTTTTTCTACGTTGCACCCCGGTTGCCTAGGCCGGGGTGTAACAATCTGTTACATCCTGTGAGGCTGTGGGAGTGTGTGGGCGTGCTGTTGTCCTCTCCTCCTCCTTCTTTATTGCCCCTGTCTCTCTCTGCCCCTGCCTTCTCCTTTTAGGACACACCTGCTGCTCATCTGCCCTCGTTTACCACCAATTACCCTCAGAGGTGATATAAGCTGGAGAAGAGCAGTGTGGCTGTGGGAGAGGCTTCTGGTGGAGTTCCTCTGTGCTGGCCAGTGTGTGAGGCTGGTCGAGGTGTGGAAAAGGCCTGCTGTGTGTGACCAGCCCCACCGTGTGTGGCTCTTTGAGTAGTTCTTAACTGAGCAGTGGTTTTCCTTAAGGGACGGTGGCCTCCATTATTTTGTGTGGCCTGCCTGGTTGTTGTTAATAGCAGCGTTGCTGTCGGAGCCTTATAGTTGTTTTCTTTGTTTAAGTGGTCGCCATCTCTTTGGGTTGACCTGTCTGATCTACCATTAAAGCAGCGGTGCTGTGTCCTTCTGTTGTTACTATTTATGTGATTGAGTTAATTGATTATAATAAAGATATTTTGTGTTAACTACCTCTGCCTGGTGTTCTTTTCATTTCAACCCGGATCCAACTGTTACTGTCCCCCACCCTCTTCGCCTAGCTTTCATGTGGGGACATAACAGCATCAATAAGCTTGTTGATTTTTGTCTTTATTTACATCACATGGTGTGAATTTCTGTGAGTTCACCTCATTTCATAGACTTTGTACATAATTCTGCGAACCCACTATTAAAATAATTGAGATGATAGCGCATTAAAGTGAGAACTAAATCTAAATGTTTTTGGTTAACAGAAGTTTTTTTGGGGGGTTTTTTTTTGCAGTTTTTTTTAGATGAAAGACATAAAACCACATGAGCTTAAGGATGTGAGGTTCAAAATTCAAAGATTTTAGCAGATGACTTGATATTGTCAGGGAGAGACCAGTTTGACGTCTTTAGTCAAACTTTTTACGGGACTGAGAGGCAGGAAATTCAGGGTAATACTAATGAAATATTCACTGAGGTAAGGGAGATTTTTGAAGTTATTAGGTCTAAACAGAAAAGCACAGCTGCATGTATAAGCGTATAAAAGTGTCATTATTCATTTTCACTACTGCTCTGGTCTTGATGGAAACCAAACTGGAACTTGTCAGATATTCTTGTCAACTGGCTGGTGAGCCTGATGAGCAATGGTTTCCTCAAGAATTTCAGAAATGAAGGGAAGTTTGAACATGCACTGTAATTATGTAAAACAGCCGTATCTGTGAGAGGGAGGACACTAGCTGTCTTGAAGCAATCATTTAATGCACCTGGATAAAAGAGACAGATCGCTAACTGAGAGCAGCATGGGGGGGAAGTGACAGGCAGAACTTTTATATGAAATTTGTCAGGATTCATTTTAGTTAGAGAAAAGAGACAGATGAGAAACTATGTCCAGGAGATCAGAGAAAATTCAGATGATAAAGACTTGAATTTTGATCTGAAATAATTGAGCTTGCCAGCAAAGATATTTAGAACTTTTTTACTGCCGTCAGTAGAAAAGATTCTATAAGTTGATCAGCTGTGGGTCAAAGCATAGACTAGAACTTCTTCTAAATAGGTTTGTGGTCTGAACCACCCTTACTTCAGCCTCGAGTCTGTTAGAAAGCTACTGAACAATGCATTTCCCCTAATGTAGATAAAGCATCATATTCATTCATTCACAGAGCGCTCTATACAACCCATCTGTCTCATACCTGTGGCCAATCATCATAAACTAATGTGCCCATCTTTGGTCTGTGGGAGTCTGTAATATTTTGGCACACTGAGAATTAAACTCAGTAAATATTTGATGCTGCATCAGTGGATCCTTCACTTGTTGCTCTGTTGAGCTGGGGTTAAGAGTTGTACTCAGATTCACATCATTATAAGAGAATCTAGTTCCGTAGAGACCTAACACTGCACATCAGTAAATATTGTCTGTCTGCAAAATTTTCAAAGCTTTCATCCTCACTTCCTAAGAGCTGCAATCAGAAGGCTATCAAAAAAGAAAAGGCTTTTTTTTCCATTTAATTTCATGTCATACACACTGTAGTCTTACACTAGAGTAGTCCAGCCCTTGTATCTGACCATTTTCTAATATATTTCTAACTCTGGGGATGAACCCAGTGGACCAGTGTTGTGTCGACACACAGCAGGCAACTTGGAGCCACTTGTAAATTGTACATTTAGGCTCTTTGTCACTAGCAGCCTGTTGCAAAGATGCATAAATTGTTCACATTTCTTTAGCTGATTCCATGAGAAATACAAAAGATAACACAGTTTGACAGCCGTAAAATTATATCTTTGACCAATTAAGTGATTTCCAAAGAGCTAGTAACTGAGAACTCAGTTATATCCATATCTCACCATGGTGTGCAGTTTCCTTAAAAGAAATGAGAAAACTGGACAAATGGAGGACAAATGAAAAAGTGGCAGGCCTCAAGTAATAACAATCTAAAGCAAACTGACAGTATCTGAACCTTATGTCCTTAAGAAACAAGACAGAAGCCTGACACAGCACCTGACTGATGCATCTGGGGAGTGAAACGGTGAGTTATCAGCACATCAGCATTCACGAGTAGTGACATACAGAGGCATTTAGAGCAAACTGCAACCCTGAGCACAGGATGAATGAGCGGCGTTACAGAAAAAGTCATTTCAAACCTGTACTGTTTCCTGGTGTCGTATCGCCCTGCGTTCGTCTCTCGTATTTTAGTGGCCAGAACTCGCACGATGTTCACAAACAAAATAAAGTTGAGCTGGAACAGAAGAAAAGCAAAGACTCTTCATATTTTGACATGCTGAAACTGTATCATATACATAAAATAAATGAAACCTTTTACAGTGGTGATTAATTCTGATCAGGACACAAAGACTTGACGGCAGGGTGGGCTGGACGTGCAGAACGTCAGCCAGAATCACGATTTGATTCGCTGTCTTTCGGTACACTGCACGAGTGTGTTTCTAATAATCCTTGTTCACCTGTACACTTGTTACAGAACTTGATTTTGTATATCATAAAGTACGGTGTGGAAGCAGGTCTATTAATCACAGCAAAATACCTTTAGAGGCTTACTAACTTCTCCTTTGGAACTTTTGTCATTTCCTCTACAAGACTTTAATGAGACTTGAGCAAAGTAATTTAAAACATGCAAATTGAGGCTTATGTTTTATGCCACCAATGACTTAGTAATACTTTCAGTCTGACACTATGCACCACCTGCACCTGAATGAGCCTGAATAAGCTTCAGAATCCATATAAAACACTTTGAGACCAGCAGCGCTGCACACGTAGACATGATCCAGACATTAAACAGTGAGCCAAAGCACTTTACTTAAACCCACACCTCCTGTGAGTTCATACATTTTACAGTGTTTGTGTTCACTCTTTATCTTCTGCATATTTCCGTTTTAGTAACATACACATTACACAGACAAAAACTGATACAAATGTGCTAATTGTAATTGTTGTTTAACCCAGAAAATGAGACCGTGTGATGAATTTCAACTCTAAAACAACAAACAGCCATATTATCACATTTCCAGAAACAGTCAAAGGAGCTTGCAAAGAAAAGCGTCTGGACTTCTTTAAGTTACTTGAAGACGTTTCACCTCTCATCCGAGAAGGTGGAGGGAACTCAAAACTGGATTAGAAGAGCCACCTCCACAGGACAAGACTCAGCGGTCCATCTGCATCTTAAGGTCAAAGGTCACTCTTTCGAGGATGCCAATGTTCACATTTTGGACAGAGAGGACAGATGGTTTGAAAGAGGAGTGAAAGAAGCATCTATGTCCACTGTGAGCGACCATCTTTGAACAGAGGCGGGGTTTACGACACCAACTCTCTGCCATCTATAATCCAGTTTTGAGATCCCTTCCCAGACGCCTTAACGCCCACTCACATCCTGGGCCCTCTGACCTCAGGAAATCACATGATAAGGTGGGGCCAGGTTTCACAATGAGCTCACCCGAAACTCTGGCTGATTGGGGCCCGCACCCAGTTTCACACCTTGGCTCAGGCGATTAGAGGATCATCAGGGGTCCTTTTGTCCCTCTGTGGGGGGAAACTCCCACTAGGTTTATATCTGGGACTCTCCACCATTTGACCTTAGAACTGAAGAAGCTTCTCGGATGAGAGGTGAAACGTCTTCAAGCAACTTAAAGAAGTCCAGACGCTTTTCTTTGCAAGCTCCTTTGACTACGATGAGCTGGATGACTGAGAACCTTCACAGACATTTCCAGAAATACTGATTATTGACTGTGCTAACTATGAATGCTATCATGTGTGCACTATAAGCAATGAAAAACACTGAGATGAGATGTCTCTTCTCTTTGTGCTGGGTGTCTTTTTACACCAACTGTATGCAATCTACTATAACTGCCTGTGTGTGTCTGTAAGCATACTCATTTACTTATAAACTTACCAAAAAACATAAAAAATAATGTTGTATATCAATTATGTGTCCAACATTTTCAGTAAATAATTAGCTGACTGTATCATTGCAAGCTGTGTAAATATGAGGCTACATTTTAACAGCACAGTAGTCCTGCAGACACTAGACTCATTTTCTGTTCTGCCAGTTCAGATATGAACGTTTGTGTTTAGCAGCTCATTAAACAGAGGAATTAAGAAATTAAATGTTTTTGTTGTAACCAGAGAAAAAGCATAGTTGAAATTAGAGACCATTTTGTTATGCAGTCGTAGTGTTCAAAAGTAACCCAGTGTCGAACAAGCACAGATCTGTAAAATTTTGTAACTATAGTTTCCACTGACATAACCAGCAGGTACTATAATAATCAAATCTGTGTGCAGACAGACAGACAATACTCAAAATCCCCAAAGTACCAAACATTGTTGGCTGAGCTGTTAGTAACAATCAGACTTTTACCATTAATCACTTAATAATGTAGCAACATGGCCTCAACTCTGTAAACACACAATAGACATTTCATTAGGTACACCTGTGCAACCAACTGCTAACACAAACATCCAATCACATGGAAGCTGGCAACAGTGATTCAAAAAAACAATCATTACAACCAGTTTGCAGAAGAGCATCTCTGAACCTTGAAGCAGATGGTCTGCAGCAGCAGACCACACCAGGTGTCAGCTGAGAACAGGAAACTGAAGCTACAGTTCATGTGGATCACCCTAAGTGGACAACAGAAGATTGGACAAACACTTCCAGGTCTGATGAGTTTCTGTTCCTGCTGTGTCATTCAGAAGGCAGTGTCAGAACGTGAAAGCATAGATTTATCCTGCTCTGTATCAGCCATTCAGGCTGCAGCTGGCCTGTCGTGTCAAGATGGACCTGAATATTCTGAGGATTGTTTCCAGCACTTTGCTGAATCTGTGCCACAAAGAATTAGGGAAAAAAAAGTTGGTCCAACAAATGTACACACATTAAGTCTTCATTCAGTAATTTTCTATAACTAGCAGTGAACTTGTCCTGATGAAACAACGCTGCCTCTGATTAGAGTCTGTAGGTGATTTTACCAGTGGGAGCCTGATGTAAACTCACAGCATGCACAGACACACAACTCGGAAAATGTCTTTGAACAAACGTGCAGTTTTAAGTAGCTTGTTCATTAATTCAGAGGTTTTGCATAAGTGCCACTCACAGAAAAACACTGCATGAATAGACTCACTCTTCTTTTTGTTAAATTGTGATGTTAAAGCAAGTTTGATATTAAAAAGCCCTCAGTCCATAGAGGAGTGATATTCCACGAAATTGATATTCAATCAGTTTTCTATTGGAGAACTATAATCCAAAAGTAATTCCAAGTATTTTACGACTAAATATTGAATACAGGGTGCGTGTATTACCTGCAAATGTAGTTTATGTGAAACATGGAGCACTACATCATTACCAGTGTGAGACGGGGAAAGTTAGAGCCTTTTTAATGATTTGTAGACCATGGCCTTCTCAGTGCCTTTATAAAAATATCACAGCTCTGATTATCTATGCAGGTTTTTCTTTTTAGAAACACGGAGAGTTCATTAAAACCGTCCTGAGGTCATTTTCTCTTGGGGTTAATTGTGCTCAGATGTATCTGCCTGAGATTCTTATGCCCTGAGAAATTCATGCGCGCGCGCACACACACACACACACACACACACACACACACACACACACACACACACACACACACACACAC